GAACAGTCATGGAACAGCTAAAAATCAGCTAATATATGCAAATTAGGTAATTAATATTCATGGGTTTTACCAAAACTAATCAACTCTGCGTATTATCCCAGAGCATCTATGTACCAAGTTTCATCGAAATTTGATTAGTGGTTCTTGAGATAACGGTGGAACAAAAAAAGTGACATACACACATACATACATACAGACATACAGACAGGGTAGCTGCAAAGACTCCCTTTTGTGCTTCGCACACGGGAGTCAAAAAACTGATCTTTGAATAGCTTCACGCCAAATGTATCTCCTCCTACAAATTTAGGATAAAACACCTCAGACATAGCTCATTCTACTCAGCTTGAGTGTGGGCACAAAGTTAAGTTTGAATTTTTTATATCTTTTTTCATTGCCGAGAAATTTGACCCCAAAGTTGGGGTAACTGTTCACCAGGAATGGCTTTTTAACTCTTCTGTGATTTTTTTTTGGCTGTGCCGATTTGGTTTAAACATGGCAGGCAAGTCACACCTTTACTCTAATTGGGTTGTAAAATCTGAAAACAAATTCTGGCTCACAGTTTCCAAGGCAACTGCCAAAAAGCTGGATTTTTTAATACCTATCTCACCCCATTATTCCAGAATTAAAAAGCATGGACATGGCTCATTCTACTAAAAATTTAATATTGTTTTTTTTAATGTCTATTTTTATTACTGAGAAATTTGACCTCAAAGTTGGGGTAACTCCTCTGTAATTTTATTGGCTTTGCTGACTTTGTTCATACTTGACAGGCAGGTCGTACCGTTACTAATTGGAAAAAAATTCATGGCCTACCTCTGCCATGGCAACAGCCAAAAAACTGATTTTTGAATACTTTCGCCCCAAATTTATTACAACTTACCAGTCTTGTAATAGCAGTGTTCATATGATCATGCTTTTTATTTTGGCTATATAATCCCAAAGCAACTTTGAACTTTGAATGAACTGTAAATGCTGCGTTCAATCTAGAAAATACTATCGCAAAACAGTTGGAAATAATAAATATAACAGCAGAATACGTCCTAGTAATAAAGTAAAGTAACTTCTAAAGACTGAATGTTTTTTGCGAAACTTGTATACGGGGCCCGGTTTTAGTTATAAACCGATGTTAGCTTCACGTTCATACCCTACAATGGCAACAGCTGAAAACATCTTGCTTGAATTTTGAGCGGAGCAGATCGTCAACCAGCCTACCGGCTTGTCTTGATTGCTGGCTAGTCATGCAACATCACTCTTCTGATAAGTTTTATTTTGATAGAACCTTTCACTCAGCAAATATGAATTATATTTATCCCTAAAACAGCTTGGTGCATCTTTTAGACAAGACACACTATGAACCATCCATATGTATTAGTATGAACTCAATCTGTAGTCCATGTTTACTTTGTAACTTGCAATGTATGCTGCCCTCAATATCACTACATGGTGGGTCTAGGTTTACTGTTTACAAATTCTATGACTGGTAGGATGCATGCTGGATAGTGCATAATTACAATAACAATGGAACAATCGTCTTGGTCTGCAACATTTTTAAGGTTGTAATATAATGCCAGTCAGGCACCGCCACGAGCATGGCGAGATCTCTGACAAAACATTTTCATAAAATTCTGACATAATAATTGGCTACATTGAACATAATTGTAATGCAAAAAATCTAGGTGACATCACAAAAACCATTATCCAAGACTAGTGAAAACACAATACAATATACAGTAGAACATCGATTATCCGGATGTCGATTATCCGAAATGTTCGGTTATCCAAACCTACTGTGTGTCCCCCAAAGTTTGTATGCAGGTCTGGCTGTGTTTCGTATAATACAAAAGTCAACTGTGAACAATAAATACTACAGTCGTCTTGTGTGATTTCCTGGTGCAACCCTTTCAATAAAGCTGTTATCAACATGTGATCCGACATCTTTCACGTGTACGTTCATTGTTTACAGTGTCTGCGCAAACAATGAAACGAATTACAGTACCCAATAATTTCCTAAATTCAGACAAGCCTATTACGCCACACCAGTGTTCCACTGTAAATAAAAAATGTCCTAAAAACACAAACTTCATCAAATGTCTTCTCCACTGTTTACAGTCAAATCCTTAACTTTACCAAGTTGTAAGTCACCGCA